AGCTTTAAAACTCAGTTCCGTGTCAGCTCTGCTGTGAAGCTATCTCTGCCCCTCTTAGCCACATAGAATCTCCCTCTTCTGTATCCTACTTGTACTACACACACACTCCATTGTTGCTCTGTGTCAATGTGTCATAGTTAGTTGTGTACAAATTTTTCTCTCTGGTTGTTTTGCATATATTTTGTGATCTCATTGAACAATGGCATCTGGAAGGCTCTCAATATGCATTATTTGTATAAATGCAGAAGCATAAATAGATGGATGGGCTGTTTTTAAATAAACTGAGTGATTCTGAGAATTTCACCAGCATCTATCTTAAAGCTCCTCAGTAATGGCATCTGTGGTTGCTTTGTCATGGGTGTGATCTGTCTCTCCTATCATCTCCAGATAGTGAAGCATGGTGATATTTAATTTATTCCAGAATGTGTTGCTTTACGCTTGGATAATGGTTGGAGAAACTGAAAATGTAAATATATTTTTGAATTATAGGGGAAACCATCCAAACCCAAGTACGGGGCCGGGCTACTCAATGCTTAGAGCTGTGCTATCCACGATGGACCCTCTAGTCATGGGCGGCCTTTGAAGTTTAAATTTAAAGTTACGACTTTCTGAAGCACAGAGTGGGGAGCTGCTCCATCTTCTGTGACGTCTCTATTGGTTGCCGCAAGACCAAAACATATGTGGCAAGAACATTCTGTAGTTGATCCTGTCAGAGAAACACTGAACTTCCATCTACTATTACTTCATCTTACAATATGTTTTCCGTAGAATGAGCGACTTATAAGTACAAACCATCCCCAGGACCCCACCCCCAGAAAACCTATTTTGACTCCGAGCATACATCTCTGTGACAGGCGTCCAGCTTAGCAGTTACCTTGGCACTGATGGCAAGTCCATATCTTCAAATGCTACTAGGCTGAGAAGCAATGGAATGGGTAAATACATGACAAATGCTGAGAATTGAGAAACTGACGGCTTCAGCAAGAGGAAGCATAAGGCCTCAATGGCAGGCAGCAGCGCTTTGTAAATGATAATCACCCGCCTTGGTCGAATAACGTTGGGCTGCCCCTAACGGTCTCTCCAAGCTGGCCAAAATGATTTATTTGTTCTTCAAAAATACACTCTCTTTAGGTACGAATTTTTTTTAATCAGCTGATTAGGCTACTGTTGACTGATCCAAACAGCGCTACAAGGGCCTAAAAAGGGATCATCTGAAATTCGGTTGTTGTGACATGGCTAATTTCAGGTTCCAGTATTACGGCCTATCTGAAATTTTCAGTTTCTTAAAAGTACTTTGGCAATTGGCCTTGCATTGCACTTCGCTTACGCGTAGAATTTACAAGCTTTTCATGCATGTGGCACCTCTTACCCTGGCCTTTGGGACCACCCCAACCAAAGCAGCGATGTGCCTGCTGCTGTACCTTCAACGCTTCTGCATGCGAGGAACTGCACTTTAAAAAGGAGAAATTATCATCCTTTTAAAAGATTTACATTTGTTTTAACACTGCTCTGCTATACCCCTTTAACCCAAGTTGTTTGGTTTTGTACTTAAACCTCTTTTTGGAGTCAACTTATCCTTAAGTATATATGCCTCCAAAAAAATAACAATTTATTGTTCAAGGAGTTACTGTATTGATTGCCCAATTTTTTTGTGCTTAGTAAAGGTATTACTTCCTTGGATTTGTACTTTTTGTGATTTAGTATGCTGTGCCATGGGACTGGTTATGTTACCCTGCGAAAAAAATAACGTCCTTACTGACAAAAAACCAGTTACCATGAAACCACCAGTAATATCACTAGACAGCAAGATAACTATCTTTTTCAGCTTTAAAGTTCAGGACAAACTCTTTAAGCCAATCTCTCACAAATGCTAAATTCACTACGGCAAGCTTGGTACTTGCCTGTCCAATGTAAACTGACTTCTGAAGCAATTAGGCCCTCGTCCATGCTAAAAGACCACTCGAACTGGCACAGCGCATATCTCCGTTGGGCTTTTTTTTCTCTCTGTTTCCCCCCTCCAGAACAGTCATGTTTTATGACATATACAACAGGACACAAGGATTATTACCCACAAACTGTTTTTTTAAAAAAGCACCTTTTCAGTTAATGAGAAAACCGAAAGACAAACGACACCTCATTGAAAATGGCGCGAAAAAATGAACAAGCAATTCACAGTAACGGAAACCAAATCACTAGCTAACTATTGGAGCCTCATGTTTGGAGTTTCCCCTCCCCCCCGGCTTCATCTCTGCCCTTTCATTCTTTTCAGTCTCCGGATCACATTCCGTTATTTGCCCTCGCTCCTGTGCTCTCTGCTGTGCGTGTCATGTCATTCCGGGCCCTCCTTTCGCGCGCGTTTCTCTTTTCTTTCCGAGCTCTCTTGCTTGTGTCCAACCGGCGTTCCTTACTTGTTCTGCTTCCATCGCAGACTCTCGTTGTGTCGTTGCCTGCTTGCTCTCACCCCTTCCTCTGCCCCCCTCACCCTCTCCGCAATGATCGCGTATCTCCGCAATCCGGTTCACTCCATTCCCCACTCACCTCTCCTCTCTGCGGCTCTCCGCGCTGGCATGTTCCGGGACCAGTCGCCCGCTCTCGGCCTTCCGGGCGCACTAAAACTTTAGCCGATGCTCTTAAATTATGCCCCTCCCCACACTCTTGCCTGTAGCTATGTCTCCCAATTTACTACTGAATCACAAGTAGGATAAATAATAAAGTTTTATATCTAATACATTGTGCTAAAATTGCAGAACATCAAATACAACAGGAAAATCTTAAAACTTCAAAAAAGAAATGCAGACTTGCAAACTTCCTGCAAAGAAGCAATTACACTCACTGTAGGCTTAACATTATCAGCACAGATGAGAAAAAAATGGGATCATATCTTTAAAGTCCAGGGAGAAAAGAATAATGAAGCTAGAACTTTATGTGAAGCTAAATGATCTTTTCAATCTACCAATTCTTCTTCTATACTGCTATACTGGATTTGCTAAAATATTTGTCTTTGCCTATTATCTGGAACAGTTTGTATAAGATAGGAATAATCTGATAATTTAAAAAATTTGAAATAAAGGTATAATTTTCTAGGAGTATGTAAATTAACAAATTTTACAGAAGAAAAAATGGAAAAACTTATTATAATGTGGTGGTGAATAGCATAGATTCTACAACCATAACCCTGATTCTCTGGGTTAGATTTTGGCTCTGCTACTTACAGTGAGCTTGAGCAAGCTACCTAATCCCTTTTCCTCAGTTTCCTCAGATAAATGCTAATAATTTCACCTAGCTCATAAGACTGTTTATTGATTAAATGGGTATTAATTGTTGAAATGCTTAGATCATAAAGGAGCTTGGCACTGTATAAATGTTACCTACTGTGAATATGGTAATAACAAAATAACAAGAGATTCTGTCAGTAGTCAAAAATGTCCACCCTAAAAAGGAAACAGAACCAGAAAGATTTACAGCTGAGTTTTACCAAAGAACAGATAATTCCCATCTTATACAAACTGTTCCAGATAATAGCCAAAGACACATATTTTATGAGACAATATAATTTGATTCCAAAACCAGTCAAAGACAATATAAAAAAGAAAATGACATGCCAACCTCACTTGTAAACATAGATATAAAAAAATCTAAGTAAAATATTAGCAAATCCAGTTTAGCAGTATAGAAGAATGTGTTCTAAAAATAACAGCAAGCATGATTTAGCCTAGGAATAAACAGAAGACTTTAGAAAATCTCTCAATGCAATTTACCAGACAGCAGATTAAGAGAGATGATCCACATGATCACTGCAATAGGTAGAGACCGAGCACTCGGAAAAATGCAATACTCATTTGTGATTTAAAAAGACAATTCCTAACAAAGTATAAATAGAAGGAAACTTGAATATGCTTAGTGCGAAAAAAGGCGTTTAACAAAAACCTATATTATATAACAAATTTTATCATATGTAATAAAATAAGTGGTTAGAAGCTTTTCCATTAAAGTCAGGAATAAGATAAAGATATCTATTACCACAGCTTTTATCAATACTATGCTAGAAGCTCTAGCCAATAAAGCAATGGAGATTTAGGGATCTAGGGTCCCTAGATTTAGGGGCAAAATTATCATTATTTCTTCATGGTATGTTTGTCTATAAAGTCTAAGAGAGCCTGCAGACCTAATAAAATTATTCAACAGACAAATCATCTAAAACTACTTTAAAAAATCAATAGTATTCCTACAAGCCAGTATTTACACAAAAAATTGAAAAACTCTAATTTAGCAATAAGAATAATTTGAAATCTAAGAGCAAATAAAACAAAAAATATGTAAATATTTTTGCTGAGAAAAATTCAAAACTATATTGAAGAACATATAAAAAGGCCTTAATAAATAAACTGTACTCATGAATAGAAAGATTCGATACAGTAAAGATGGTAATCCTCCCCCAAATGCATGTATAATTTCAGTGCAATTTCATTATAAATCCTAACATAGTTTCCCATCAAACTTTACAATCTTGTTTTAAAATTCGTGTGGCTGAAAAAGTCCAAAAATATATGATACAGGTCTGAAAAAGAATAACAAGAAAGGATTGCTTATTCTAGCAGATATCAAAGTGTATCATACAGCTAATTAAGTAAAACAGTGTGGTTTTGGCTGAGTCATAGATAAAAGATCAATTGAATAGATTAGAAATCCCAGAAACAAATCACTGCATATATAGACATGTTGTTTAATGGAACTGGCATTACGGACTGGAGAGGAAAGGATGAACTATTCAACAAATGGTGTCAGGATAGCTAGGCTTCCTATATATAGAAAGAAAACTAGATCCCTATCTTACATGAAAAACAAAAAAAGAGATTTCACGTAGATTAAAGATTTAAACATGGGTGCGCAGCGTGGCCGGCCGGGGCGCCGGGGTGCTGGGTGAGGGGCAGGGGCAGGTGTAGCCTCTTTGCTTCCTTGTCCCTTAGCACCACCCGGGCATCGCGTGAGCCGCCCGCACCATGAAGATCTGGACTTCGGAGCATGTCTTTGACCACCCATGGGAAACTGTTACCACAGCTGCAATACAGGAATACCCAAACCCTATGAACCCTGGTGTGGTGGGAGTCGATGTCTTGGACAGACATACAGATCCCTCCGGAAAGTTGCACAACCATAGACTTCTGAGCACAGAGTGGGGACTGCCTTCCATTGTGAAGTCTCTTATTGGTGCAGCAAGAACCAAAACATATGTGCAAGAACATTCTGTAGTTGATCCTGTAGAGAAAACAATGGAACTTAAATCTACTAATATTTCATTTACAAATATGGTTTCAGTAGATGAGAGACTTATATACAAACCACATCCCCAGGACCCAGAAAAAACTATTTTGACTCAAGAAGCCATAATCATTGTGAAAGGAGTCAGCCTTAGCAGTTACCTTGAAGGACTGATGGCAAGTACCATATCTTCAAATGCTAATAAAGGCCGAGAAGCAATGGAATGGGTAATACATAAATTAAATGCTGAGATTGAAGAACTGACGGCTTCAGCAAGAGGAAGCATAAGGACTCCAATGGCAGCAGCAGCGTTGTATAAAAATGATAATACCAGTTGGTAGATAACGTTTGGTGCCCTAGGTCTCTCCAAGCTGGCATATTTATTTGTTATTTAAAAAATACAACTATATTTTAGTAGAATTTTTTTAATAAGCTGATTTGGCTATGTGACTTGATCAAACAGAGATACAGGGCTTCTAAATAAAGGGATCATGAAATTAGTGTTGTTTGAAATGGCTAATTTTAAGGTTTCCAGTTTATATGAAAATTTAAGTTTTCTTAAAAGTACTTGGAAATTGCATTGACATTGACTCTCCTTAAGGTAGAATTTTAAAGCTTTCATGCATTGGAACTCTACCTGGCTTTGACCAACCCAAAACAAAGCAGAGATTGCCTGCTGCTGTAACTTCAACAGCTTGCATGAGAGAACTCACTTTAAAAGGAGAAATTATATACTTTAAAGATATTATTGTATAACTTGCTCTGCTTAAAACACCTTTAAAACCAGTGTTTGGTTTTGTACTTAAATATTTTTGGAGTGAAAATTACCTCTAAAGTTATATATGACTCCAACAAAATAAAATTTTATTGTATTAAAGAGTACTGTATTGATTTGCAAATTTTTGTGACTTAGTAAAGGTATTACCTTCCTTGGATTTGTACTTTGTGATTAGTATGCTGTGCCATGGATGGTTATGTTAACTGAAAAATAAAGTCATTACTGAAAAAAAAAAAGATTTAAACATGAACAAGTAATAAATAGAAGAAAGATAGGAAATATCTTTTAAGATATTAAAGTCAGGAAAAACTCTTAGATATATCAAATGCATAAATTACAGGAAAAGACTGGTAACTTTGACACTGTCCAAATGTAAACTACTTTCTGAATGACAAATGAGGCAATAGTAATGCTAAAAGACAAACTCCAACTGGAACAGCATATTTGTGGGCTTTTTTTTACTCTCTGTCCCCTCTAGAACAGTATGTTTTTGACATATACAACAGGAAAAGGATTATTACCCAAACATGTTTTTTAAAAAGCACTTTTAGTTAATGAGAAAAAAGACAAAAGCACCCCATTGAAAAATGGGCGGAAAAGTGAACAAGCAATTCACAGTAAAGGACAAATAACTAATAAATATGTGAGATTATGTTTGGTTCACCAGTAATAAGGGAATTCAAAATAAACACCTATGAATTTAATTTCACTTTTATAAGTTTGGATAAAATTAAACAGTCTATTAATGCCAATTAATGTTGAAATGTAGAACAACAAACTCTTAATATTGCTGCTGGGAGTGTGAATTGGTTCATCATAATGGGAGCCTATTTCCTAGAAGCCAGCAGCTTTATTTTATATATAATTTAGAGACTCTCTTGCACTTGTGTACAAGAAGGATAAATATATTAATTATAGTTATAGAATACTATATAGCAATCGAAGAAAAATAGAATAAGGACTGTGTAGATCTGCATGAATGGTCTCAAAAACAACTTGAGTGAAAAAATCAAGTTCAGATGATGAGTATATGATGACATTCAGGGGAAAAATTTAAATACACATAAATACATATATTTTCCTGGGTTTTAGGTGTGCATGTACACACAAAAAGGAAAAGTAGAAGTGGACGTTGCACACTAATTTAAGACAGATGTCTTAAATTATGAGGCTGGGAGGGATGTGAGATTATAGCTAGGGATGCTGATAAAGAGAATTTTATTTCAATTCTACTAGTTTTAAAAAATGAATTAAACATTACAAAATGATAAATACTGTCAATTCTTTGGTTGAGGATACATGCGTATTTATCTATATTCTTTGTTCTTTTGTGTAATTTAGATTTTACCAAAATTAAAATTATAAATCAAGCCAAAACAGATAGCTCCAATCTAATAATGAGAAAATCAGCAGAAAAATATCCATTAAAGGAAATTCTCACAAAGGATGGCCAGTACTCCCCAAAACTGTCAAGTCATCAGAACAAGAAGAAACTGAAAACTGTCACACAAGAGAAGCTAAGGAGACATGGTAATCAACGTACTATGGTGTCTAGATCTGCTCTTGTGAGAAAGAGCACTGGATGATAACTAAGGCCAATCAGAATAAAGAATGGATTTTTATTAACAATATGTATCAAGGCAGGGCGTGGTGGCTCATGCCTGTAATCCTAGCTCTTGGGACGCTGAGGCAGGAGGTCGCTCAAGGTTAGGAGTTCAAAACCAGCCTGAGCAAGAGTGAGACCCATCTCTACTTAAATAGAAAGAATTAATTGGCCACTATTATATAAAAAATTGGCGCATGGTGGTGCATGCCTGTAGTTCAGCTACGTCGTGGCTAAGGCAGGGATCTCTGACCAGGAGTTTGAAGTTGCTGTGAGTGAGGCTGATGCCATGCACTCTAGCCCAGGCGCAACAGTGAGGACTCTGTCTCAAAAAATAATAAGTATCAATATTGGTACATTAATTGTGACAAAGAACCAAACTATATGAGATTTAATAATGGGGAAAATGGTGTTGATATATGAGAATTCTTTGTCCTATCTTTGCAACTTTTCTTTAATCTAAAATTATTCTAAAAAAAAAAGTTTATTTAAAAACAGAATCAGTACGGTATTATTCCAATTATGTGTTAGAGTGTGTGTGGGTGTACACAGAGAAAAAGATGAGATGGAGTATTTATCAAAAATATCAGACAATGATATAGGTCTCAAATGGTGGGTGTATGGTTGCTTTCTTTGCTCTTCATTCTTTTATTTTTCAAATTTCTGCCATCTAATAAATGGCAACTGGATATATTGATACATTCCAGCTACCAGAAGCTTTACTATAATAAAACTTGATATTGTTCCTATTAGCACTTGGGAATTACAGGCCTCATCTCTCTATCCCTCATTTCTAATATTTGCCAGCAATGTTGCTAAAACTGCAAACTCTAAGTTCTATACGGGAGTTTCCAGGGAAAAGCTTGAGAGATTCATTTTAACAGGCTTCAAGTGAATTTCTTTGTGTGTGGTTGTTTGAATAAGTTTTGAAAATTGACTCCGCTAATTCTCACTCAAGTTTAAAACTCAGTTCCGTGTCAGCTTGCTGTGAAGCTATCTCTGCCCCTCTTAGCCACATAGAATCTCTCTCTTTGTACCTACTTGTACTACACCACACACTCCATTGTTGCTCTGTGTCAATGTGTCATAGTTGTGTACAAATTTTCTCTCTGGTTGTTTTGCATATATTTTGTGATCTCATTGAACAATGGCATCTGGAAGGCTCTCAATATGCATTATTTGTATAAATGCAGAAGCATAAATAGATGGATGGGCTGTTTTTAAATAAACTGGGTGGTTCTGAGAATTTCACCAGCATCTATCTTAAAGCTCCTCAGTAATGGCATCTGTGGTTGCTTTGTCATGGGTGGGATCTGTCTCTCCTATCATCTCCAGATAGTGAAGCATGGTGATATTTAATTTATTCCAGAATGTGTTGCTTTACGCTTGGATAATGGTTGGAGAAACTGAAAATGTAAATATATTTTTGAATTATAGGGGAACCATCCAAACCCAAGTACGGGCGGGCTACTCAATGCTTAGAGCTGTGCTATCCACGATGGACCCTCTAGTCATGGGCGGCCTTTGAAGTTTAAATTTAAAGTAATTAAAACTGAATGAAATAAAAAATCCGTTCCTCAGTCACATATTTCAAGTGCTCAAAGGCCACAGTGTTGGAAAGGGCAGACACAGAAAGAACATTTCCATCATTACAGGAAGTTCTACAGGGGAATGCTGGCACACATTCTTCCTCTTCGTCCTGCAAGATCCAATCAGATCGCCACTCACGTAGAACCTTCTGTCATCCCTCCAAGCAAAGTTCTGTTTGGTTCCCAGTCCAGGCTTGTCCCGGGCACCAAGAATTGAGAGATGAAGAAAATGCAGTTGCTGCCCTGGAAGACCTTAAAATAAGGATTCCCAACCAGGGTGATTTTGTTGCCAAGGGGACATCTGGCCAACTCTGGAGATGGTTTTTTTTTTTTTTTTTGAGACAGAGTCTCACTTTGTTGCCCAGGCTAGAGTGAGTGCCATGGCGGCAGCCTAGCTCACAGCAACCTCAAACTCCTGGCTCAAGCGGATCCTACTGCCTCAGCCTCCCGGAGTAGCTGGGACTACAGGCATGCGGCACCGATGCCCGGCTAATTTTTTCTGTATGTATTAGTTGGCCAATTAACTTTTCTTTCTATATTAGTAGAGAGACGGGGTCTCGCTCTTGGTTCAGGCTGGTTTTGAACTCCTGACCTCGAGCAATCCTCCTGCCTTGGCCCCCAGAGTGTGGATTACAGGCTAGCACCTGCGCCGGCTGGAGATGGTTTTGGTTGTCATAACTAGTGTGTGTGCACGCGCTCCTGACGTAGAGGCCAGCAGCACACACAGAGGGGTAGACATCAGGGAAGCTGCTAAACATTCCACAATGCACAGGACAGCTCCTTCTCCCTGCCGTCAAAATTCATTTGCCCCCAAATGTCAATAATGCCGAAGTTGAGTAACACAGGCTTAAAGCCTTGCTGAGGGGAAAGACACAGGAGCAGATGGTGCCAATGAACCGTGGAGAGTGGAGAGAGAAGGGGCGAGCACACACATGGGGGTGGGGTGATTCCTCAGCTGAGTCTGGAAGGAGCTGGGTGGTTGGTTGCTCCTTGTATGATCTCATGTCATTTTGCCCATTCCTCAGCACCTAACACTGCCAGGGATATTAACCACTGGTGTATACATACTGCTCCCCTGTTAGACCGTGAATTCTTCAAGAGCAGGTACTGTATTTAATGAGGTGCGTCCAGGACTTTGTCCAGTGACTGGACCACATAGCAGAAGTACAAGAAAGTTTGCATGAGTGAACAATGATAGGTGGACACAATCTCTTTCACCTCTCCCCAGTTATAGTGTATCTTGTATCCTCATGCAAATTATTTCGCTATGTTTAGAAGCATTTTCTAGAACAAGGTGTAGCAATCTGTGGAGTAAAATTTGTCACCAGAGCTCATGTTTTCAGAAAGAGCCCTGTCCTCATGCAGTTGTTC